CTTCCATGATTGTTTTATGTACCCAATTCTTATTCAGTCATTTCAGTCATTTTTAATATATGTAAAGTTTTTTGTTTTTTTTTTTTAAAAAATTATGACTTGTAATTCGATTACCAATAAAATATTTGTATTTGTATTTGTATTTGTATTTGTATTTGTATTTGTAGTATATGCTTGTTATCTAATTAGTACTATTTATGATGTTTATGGTAACATCAATTTAGTATACCTCTCCACAAGTCTCCCTGAAGACTCCAGTAGGTATGCCGTACAGTGGGTCGAAATTCAACGACACATTGTTGGTAGGCAACGCATGGCCGTATTTCCGAGTCTAAAATAAATTACCAATTAGTTACCAATTACTAATTATCAGCACAAAAAATATAGACTGCTACTACTAATTTACTGACTCGACGTTTCGCCATAGTTTCCTAAGAGACAGAGTCAAATATGGAGAACAGATCGCTATCTTCTGCTAGTCGGTATAGGTACCCAAGAGGGAAGTAATAATTATGACTCACATTGTAAAATGTACTAAGGGAATAGGTTAAGGTATCAAGCGGCGAACTACTGTCTTTGAGGTCATCGTTGGTTTCTTTAGTTGTATTGCATCCATCCGAACTGGTATCATTTGTCTTAGATGAACTGCTATATAACATTTTGGTGGTTTTCTTTCCCAACAGTTGTATAACCCCATTTACTTTGAGGAGAGACATATTAAGTTATTAGTTTCTCTCATTGCAGAAGAAGGTTCATGTTTCCTTTGGTCCTGTTATGTGATTTTTTTTTATATATTAAAATCTTTCATGTTGTTTTATTCTTGATATTTTATTTTTGACATTATTAATGTCAAATGTCCATTATGCTTTTAATTTTCGGAAGTGTTAAATGATAAGTCATTATAATGTGACCAAAGACATTTAATAATTTATTTAAATCTCTTAGAATACGACCTCCAAAGCATCTTATAGCAGTTTTTTGACATTAACAGGGGGCGCCTGTAAGATTTAGGAGTTGCCAGTAAGCAAAAAAATCCAGACTTCTTTTGACATTCCGAATTTTGAAAACGTAAACTACTAGTATATGCCAATTATTTGCAACTTACGACACGTGTTCGTAGTAATTGTTTACTATTTTAATTGATACATCTTCACAACTCCTCTATACAGCTTTAGGATAATTTAAGCAAAGACGAGGTTGATACATTTTTGTTCAGAACTGTGTCCATTAATAATAACGAGTAATCATTAGTTTTCATAGTACCCTAATATCAGCAAATAAAGCTACATTTTATATCAGCCTACTTTTGATATTTCGAAATTATGAAAATGGCGACATTAACCCTCGCAGTTACCGTTCCCTCATTGGCCAAATGTGACATATTTTGCCATAGCGATAATATAACAACGAGTGATCATTGTGAAAAATTATTCCGTCAGCACGACGAGACAGTTTAACTTATGAAAGTTGCGACGCATGGCTGAACTTACCACGAAAGTATAAAGCTTCCCCAGTCATTGGACTAACGTGCTAACCTTGTGCCAATTGTAAGACAGCGCTGTTAAGCGCTGCTGTCTACTTGAATAGACAAAAGATAGAGCACATGTCTGCAACTGACAATTACTTGCTAGTAGGTAACGCTATATTCAATCGAGAGCTTGGTAAAGGTAGAAAGTACGAGGCTTACGTCTCGTACTCTACCTCGTTGTCATATGCAAACTTAGGTTTGTTGCACGTAAATAGTGTATTGGTTAGTGAATAAAAGACATTTACTAACAGCAATAAAGACAATTTTACTCTTAATACATTTATTTCACGTAACGGCACTATATATTAAGTACATAACGAAGTCGAGCGGTCGTGGAGCGCCTTGCGACGACCCCTCGCCGCGACGGGTTAGCAGATCTTCGTACAGCACGTGTAGATTGTAATGCAGGGGCAGCAACAGCCGCAGCAACCGCCGCAGCATCCGCCGCAGCATCCACCACAAGGTCCACACCTGAGGATATCAAATAGTTAGACAAGAAAACACAAATAGAAATAACATCTAAACATTTCAACTTACATTTTGAGTAGCAAAGGGAATAAACCAGAAAATAAATTAGTATAAACGTCTAAGACGACGGATAGGAACTATTGATGAAATAGTGATTTTTTTGTCTTTTTATATACGTTTACCGCAGAGGATTTGATTGTGCACTGTCGAAAATGTGAAAATGCTTCCTTTATATACCATTTAAATAGATTAGAGGTATTCTTAAATTGAAAGAAATTTACTCGTTTGAAAAGGCGAGAGCTGCCAGAATTTAATAAGAGCGTTTTAACGCACGCGCGTTATAAACGCTGACATTAAGTCTTGTTCATACTAGACATTTTGGATTATATAATATTTTTTTTATTTTTATTTTACACTAGTTTGCTTGCGACTTTATTTGCGTAATTAAAAAAGCCTAAGTTACTTCTACAAATATCAGATAACTTTCATTTAATTCCCTTTAAAATCAGTGCAGCCTTTTAAGAGATTACTCGGGCAGACGCGGAGAACGGATGGACAAACAGGCAGACATTTAATAAAAACATCTTTAATATAGCCTAGGTCTATCATTTTCTAACAAATGGCATTAGGGAAACGGGACCTTTAATTAGCTTTAGCCTTTCCTGATTTATAATTGATTCTATAAATGGAATTTGAGGTACCATCTCGATTTATTTTGATATACAAATAATTCAGTTATGTTATTGAAATGACAACATAAACTTAAATTTCTAGTTTAAAAAAAACCTTACAAAATTTTAGTGTTTATGTAAGTAATAATATTTTGGTGTTAATTCGTTATAAGGATAGTTGTATCTTATTATTGATAGATTTTATTACAGAAAACAAAACCAATTATGCCGTCATGCAAACCTTTGAAAAGTTGCCAAAGCCGAGAACTGAGGGGAGGGATATTATACACGGATTGTTTTTGCCTACGAAGAAACGGATTACAATACGACTGTCGTAGAAGTGGATGTCAAACATCACCCTATTGTCAGATTCTGCCAACTCCAATTTGCGGACCGGCCACCATGGCATGTGCTAAATACATGGTTAATCCACATGCCGAAGCTATAAGCAGTATTTGTAAAATGAGGCCTCATTAAAAACAAACAACGCACACTGAAATTTCAAGATTTATTCATATCGAAAAATTAAATTTATAAGCTTATACTACTGGTGAAAATATGATAAAAACGCTCAGTCTGCTTCTACCCTAATTTCTGAATACTGGCACTCTAAACTGTTTTTAGACAGGCACGAAAGAACGAGAAATAGAAAAATAATGCAACAAACAAAAGAAGGCATTTCTTGCCAATAGAAAATATTTCTTCATATTGAACACATGTATTTTTTATAAAATCAAAATTTAAAGTGTAACAAATATTTTCAAAATTTTTAAGTAAAATATAAAAATCTTTTTTACTAAAATACAAAAAAAGACTCGTCGTTTTAATTGCTAAGCACAAAGATAGTGGAAAATGTAAGTTATTTCAGGTTTAATCATGTAAAATATATCTAGTTAAGCTATATCGTATGTATATCTTTTTTGTTTCAGGTGTTCTCCTTGTGGCCCCATGGTATGCTACAAATACGAGGACTGTGGTCCACCAGTAAGTATTTTCATTTTCTTTGCAAGAAATGTTGTGTAGTAATGTGTAGAACGTGAGTAGAGACGTTTTTGTAGTGAGATAATCGCTGTTTTGTTAGTGGTATTTTCGCACTTTGTCTATTTTTAGGGCATGGTTTCGTTTTTCCTGGCCGTTTTTTACTGTCTATCCTCTGGTAAAATGTACTTTCTAAGGTTTCGTAGCTGGTTCTTCACAAGCGTTTAATCGATATGTCCATTCCACGTTCTGTTAATCGTGTTGTCCGCTATTTCACAATCTCTATTAAAATCAGCTTAGTGGCAAATTTACGTTGTAAGTTTCTTTTTACGTTGGAGAGGAAGTAAATTAAAATAAAACTTCACATTCAAATACTTACGCCTGCAATATCTTAAACTGAATAGCGGCAAAGTATTCGTCAAATTATCTTTTCATGTTAGATATTACACTTATGGGCGCATTACTAAAGCCATGATGTATACGCAGCTGCAGTGCCTGCCGCGGTCTGCGTTCAAACGCAACGGGCTGCAGGACCAGCAGTACTTCCAGCAGGGCTCCATCCGCTACCTGTGCCGCGACGGGCCATGCTGCCCACGGCCTTGTCCGCCATGCTGCCCGCCGTGCGTGCGCCGCCCCCCGCCCGGCAAGACCTACGTAACGCGCTTCAGCGACTTCGACCTCCTGTCGCAGTGGTAGTCGCTCGCCCGCTACCGGCCGACTACGGGTATAATGATATGATAATTTGCAACGCGGCGCACGTGGCGGTCTCGCTTACATGTTCTATATGGACGCTGTTATTTTCAGAAAAAGAAGCCCAATACCGGTGTGGAGATCGAGCAGGGCGGCGAGGAAAAAACTGAGAAAGAAAATCAATTAAAGAGAATAAAAAGTCGAGAATTGAGAGGAGGAGTTATGTACTACAGTTGCCACTGCATCAAGCGCAATGGTCTGCAGCACGATTGCCGGCGCACGGGGTGCGGCGGAGAGCCGGCGTGCCTGGTACTGCCAGACCCGCTGTGCGCGCCCAGCCAACTGGCACGCGCGCGAGGCCTGGCCGACCCCGCTCCACTCGCAAAGCACGTGGCGGCCGTCTCGGGCAAGACGGAAGACGGGGCCACTCGCCCTACGGGCAAGAGATTTATTGTTTGTGAACTAAAGAGCATTGCGCCTATGGATACTAGCGGCGGCGCTAAGTGTTGTTGTCGTACGTATCATTATTGAATTTATAATTAACGATATAATTTTAACAAACGAATGTAGGAATAAGTACATATTAGGTACTTATAACAATTTAATTTATTGGGCAAAGACTTTTCTCCTAATATTTGTCTTAATTGGTGTCTTTCCAGGTTGTGCTAAAGACGCTCAAGGTAAAAGAGCGACAGGCGGCAACGACCCGACGTCGGGGCCGCCTATTGTGGTGATGAAACTTTGTTAATTTATATCATGTCCTAAAATATTAAGAAAAAATGAAAAATAAAAGATTTATGTTTACCAAGTTATTTAATTTACATCCCTTCAATTTATCTTAGCAAAGCTGCACGAGAAAATCTAACCGAAAAAGATGTGCCGCTAAGTAGGAATTACCGCACCTATATTTTATTCACGCACCTCAGTTTGTAATACAATTTCTGGAGCTATTGGCCAGTCAGTTTTGATAACTTATTCGTAAATCTTAATGGATGCCCTATAACCCTGTTAGATATTCAATAGAATTAACGTGAATTTTACCGATTTATAAAGTATATGACAAAGGCGGAGGAGAGAGGAATAGTTGCTGTCACTGAAGAGCGTGTTAAATTGTTAAACAGTTTTCGGTTTTGGCTTGAATATTAATTGAATAAAATGTTTATCTTAGCAGACAAAATACGAGAAATGTATTAGTGCTCTCACGATTCACGATTCAAGGTGCAAGTTTAATCCGAAAGATATTGTTTTTCGAGTTTGTAGAAAATAAAACAAACGTCTTCATGAACATGTTATCCTTATATAAATACTTGTGTCCAAATCCTTTAAATGTACATCTAAAAGAACGTAGGCAAGAACCAAGAAACATCAAGCCTTCTTAGTAGATTACCAAGGAGTTAAGCATCAGGATTCAGGATTCTCTCGCTTTTGGCGACGTAGCAAAATATAGATGTTATGAGTTAACGAGATATACTTTATACTCTGTCGTAAAGAACCCCGCAACAAGTTAAATTCAATAACACTCTCGTAATTTTAAGAATGGAATACAGTCTTCTTCTATTTCTGTAGACGGACTGCATAAATATCACCGTAAATATGAAGAAAAACCATTAGTTTGGCAGATTTCAAATGACAAAATTGTAAAAATACCAAAATTATTTGAAAATCTTTAAAAAATAATCATCCAATTTTCTAAATTACAAAGTTTCGTTTTTCAACATGTGCAGTCCGGTGTTACAATTGCCACGTTATAAAGAACCACCGACTTATATACCTTGCATACCCGTTAAGGTAACAAATAATATTTATATAGTGTACTAATGTGATCATTCTAGCGAAGCTTTTTAGCCCTCCATCGTACGAATTTTGAACGCATTAAATTGTGAGTTTTACACTTATTATTTTTCATTCTCTCATTTGTAGGGTCCTCCATGTCTACCATGTGGCATGGACCCAGTTACATTACGTCGTCCCTTAATAGTGCACGACAGTACCTTCGACTACAGACCCACAAGTTGGCCAGGAATGGTGCTAAATAACCAAGACAAAAAAGTGCGGTACCAACTCATCAATTATGATAGGCCGGTAAGTATAATAAAATATGCTACGATTACTTTTAACATATTTAAATTTCTAATAGGTACTGCCTATAGCATATTGAGTTCCCTTCTTGTGCATGTAATTGGAGTTATAAATCTTTTGCTTCGTCTTATATTCTACTTGATAGTGATGAGATTTGATCGTTATAATTGTACTTTCAGGTTAAGCCACATTATCCAGCATGCTCACCTACATTTATATGTAGTCGGACATAGTAAGTACAATTGAAATTATTTGACTACTAGATATGTAAATTCATGACTTCCAGCTTACTCATCTTGTTCAAAGATTTCTTTCTACCGTATTATTTATCCATATTCTTCGAGTACAGAAGAATTGATGTTTAGTTTCATGTCTCTTCACTTGAATGCTGTCTTGATACGAAACTTTTTTCTTAAGTCCTCCGATGTGAAGTGTCAAATTCTGTAGAAAAAATCTTTGACATTTTCATTTCACATCACGCAAATCAAGCTTCAAATTAATTTTTCGGATAATTAAATTTACAAGTTCGGTCAATTTAAATTGCTGGTAAATTCAAAAACAAACTCAAAAATAAAATGTGCGATCGAATGAACGTTATTGGTCAATTACAAACTATCATGTCCGCAATACAGTAAGTATGATCTACTAAATTTATTACACCGCTTTAGATTACCCATCTTTCATTCTATAATTACAAAACGACGATTGTGTTAGCCAAACGAAGGCTTCAATGTAATTGTTGTCGTACCAGTTTTTCAGGTGTTAGTTAACTATAGGTCCTTACATTAGTATTTCTTGTGAAAAGCTCGACTGTTCGTGCTTGGCTTGCAATTTCATTAAGGTGTAATATTTAAATCCAGGGGCGGATGCGGTGGTTGCCACGGAGGCTGTTGCCGGCCTTGCGCGCCGCCTTGCTGTGGATCCCCCGGCTCGCTCGTGACAGTTTACAGTCAAGTAGCACATATTCAGTGAACCGCCGCGGCTATCGCGCTTCTGCGGATCAAGTTATTCTAATTTAGATACTATATTTAACTGTAGTTCGAGCATTGGGTATAGACGTTTGTTTTAACATAAAATTACGCCTGTTGCGAAGGGCACAAATCTTACCGTTGCTCCAGTTTCTACCGTACTTTTATACTTCCGTTTAGTTAATTTTTATCTGTACATTTGGAATAATGATTAATTTTATCAACAGATGCAGTGCTAGCAGTAGGACAACCTCCGCGGCCGGTGGCAGCTTTTGACAAGGCCGTCATAGAAGTGGGCCATCACTGAGCAGCGAGTAGTTTGTGATTTGTGAAAATTATTGTGCGGTTTTATATGATGTTCTTGTGGCCTGTAATAATTAAACATTTCAAATTTATGATGTATTTTACTACTCAGTTACCACCCAAAGTTTACATAGTGCTAACGAACATTTATTCTAGGATCAAATCCTTCTATTACAAATATTACGTAGTTATCCTACGTAATATTTGTAGAAGTTCTTCCGAGTAAAAATAGATGAATATCCCGCAATTTATCTAATACTGATATAAGTTTCTCTATATATTTAAATCTCTATTTAAATCGATAATCGGTTATTTTTTATAGAAGCCGTTTGTGGTTGTTTTAAAAATCTCATAGAAGAACCATCCCATTAACGCTACGCCATCACACCTCTACAAATAAAAGTATCTGTTAGGTTCGTTACGTTAAGGACACGACACAAAAGCAATTGAATTCCCAAAACTTAAGCTTTGTAGTTAGGAAACAATAACGATTACATAAACACTTTTCTAAATGAAACAAAAAGGCCTACTCGAATCAGATGCCGACCGAATCAAGGGCACCAGTTGGTTTAGCTTTTGTTTCATACGAGATCATTCCACATTGCATCTACTGCTTTATAAATCTAGGCTTTAGGCAATCTAGATTAATAAAATAAAACATATATTCAAGTAGGCTTAACGTACTTATAAATATAGGTACACGAAGGTACTTCACTCATTTGGTTGTTCGATAACACCACTCGTTTCTAAATTATCAGTAACATTTCTGGATAAAATGGGAAGTTGCGGAATAAGTAACGTTCCAGCGGCGTGTCTGCCTATCGCAAACAGTTGTGGTCCTCAGGTTCCTTATGTGTGTCAGAGTACAGTTCCGCCCGCACAAAGATGCTACACCCTAAACCCATGCATCAACATCTACAGTTGCCACACGCAGATCATGTAACAGTGAGAGAAAACGAAAAAATGCGAAGTTATAAAAATTGTAACTGCTGCACATTCCAGTGATAATATAGCTTTTATTTAAAATATTTTGTGTTTTGTTATTCTTCTTTAAACCTGAGATGAAATACGTTTTAAAAAGGTAAGCGAAATTACATATTGTTTTAAACAACATTTATAATGAAATGTAGTTCTTTCCCTTTTATCTGTAGAACTAAAGTTATTGTACATGTGGTAGGTTAGAGTATTCGATTAAAGGCCGATTTAGTGAATGTGTTAAACAAAAAAGTATCAAACAATTAAAAAGACAAACAGTTACTTTATTAAACATTGACATTGCACGACACAGAAAACAGCACACAACTCGAAAACTATATCACCCGACGCTACCTCAACGGCACAGGCACTGAATAGGCACAGCCTGCATATGGTCCCTGAAAGTTAAACAGCTAATTAATAAAAAGTCAGAACTTCCAAATTCATAGCAAGTAATTAATGTTTGGCAAAAAATAAATGTATCGGTCTCATAGACACATACCTGTCTGACATAATTTGCCACCGTGTATCGGACATTCGGGTTACGTCGTGTGAAGCATTCTGCAGGAAGACCAGACGGACGACATTGGAATACGCTGTCGTGTACTATAAGCGGTCGACGTCGCGTCACCGGATCCAGTTCACAAGTAGGGCAGCTGCTACGACATACGGGCAAGCACGGGTACTTGCACGGCGGAGCTCGCGGGCAAATTGGGCGCTGCTTTGGTATTATAGGCGACGGACATTGCGGATTGAAACAAGGTAGCACCGGCTGGTAGCAAGGCACAGGCTCTGGACAAGGTCGCACCTGAAAAATAGAACGTATTACGATGAAGGCAATATGAAGGCAAGAACGATAGAAAATGAATTGTAAATAAACAAAATATAATTTGTTATTCCACACGCAACTCAAAATGGTATAGTGCGGCTTGGGAGTTTGTCTCATAACTGTAATTCTAGATAACACGATTTTTTTACAATGAAATTTAAAGTTACCGGTGGTGGGTCACAGGGTTCCGGCGGCGGGCAGCAGGGCAGTACGGGGGGGCAGCAGACCGGTCTCGGTGGCGGGTACGGAGGCGGCTCGCAGTGTGGTATCCTTCGGGGTTTGCATAGCGGCAACTCCGGTACGATAGGCGGTACAATGTCAGGTAGCACGGGAGCTGGACAGGGGCGGTATACTGGGCGGCAGCGGCACGGCGGGCAGGGCGTACAGCAGGCGGGCGGTGGACACACCGCTTGGCAGCATGGCGGCGGCGGCGGGCACGAGTAGCGGCAGCAACCCGTGCCGCACGGGATGATGGCGGGGCACGTTGGACAAAAACCACATGGTGAACACATCACTTATATTAAGGTTAAAAGTGGAATTATTAAATTTTACTTTGTATCTCTAAGATTTAAATCCTTAATTTATTTTACAATTTTTACTGGAGAATTTTTAATAAATTATATCAAAAATATTTATAAAATTTTAATTATTTAACAAACATTAGGTGACATAACGGACATTATTATTTTTTAAAATGTTAATTTTTGACAGAGGTTTTAATGTATTTTGTTTCATTTTATAATAACTCCTGACTGGTAAGAAACAAATACAACGTTAGAAAAAAACAATAATCCGAAACATCACTTTTTGATGAATAATTTTTAGTAAACAGAAATTTGTAAAAAAATTGTAAAAATCAATAATAATGAGTGCACCATTTTACATCTACGACCCATGCGTGTGTACCGGACGGCCGTGCGGTGCGTGCTACCCGTACTCGACTAGGCCATGCGCAGCATCCTGCAACGACCTGAGCGCGTGCTCGACGTGCCCCGGCGGTGGCTGCTCACCCTGCCCCGCGCCTGTGCGGCCCTGCCCCGAGCCCTGTCCGCCCACACCCGTTCTACCCTGCCTGCAGCCCTGCCCACCATGTGATAAAGTAATTGATAACTTGCACCCACTACTATACTCTGTCCACTCTTTACGTAAGACAGTAATCTACTCCTTACATTTTATTCATGCATCAAGAGATAAAGTTATATTGTAAACGTTTGATATACATATTTCGCTGATAAATACCCAATAACTCGAGCCCATGTTATTACTATTTCTAGCCAAGGACATGTTTGAGGCCGCCGTCGCGGCTGTGCGACTCAATTGCGATCCCGTGCTGCCGCCCCAACCGCTACAAGCCATGCCCCTGCTACTGCTGCACTGAGCCCGCTATCTGCTCACCCAAGCGCTGCAGCTACCCCGGCGTCCCGGTCTGCAACGGCTGCTGCGGTCCATGCATGCCTGTTTGGTAGAATTACACCGACCCCATACCGCTTCTGTAGTCCCATAATAAACTTGTTACATGTTATGCCATTACTGTTCCAATAAATAACGTTTGCCAATCATTTGTATTTATCTCCATAATTTACACGTATGGTATGGAATCGAAACATACAAACTATAAAGTGCAATAAAAGATTTGCGATCGATTTTACTTTCCATAAAGGTTAATAAATTAAGCGACAGTTGATTTGACTTGACAATAAATCTTAAATCGTGGTTCAGTTGGGGCAGACAAATTAACTGAACCTTGGAAACAACATTGATGTATTGACGACGTTATATGTAAGAATTTATCAACGCGCCACTGATTGCATCTTAACCTATAAATTTACATGTCGTAAGCGTAGTGAAATCAATTTATGATTCATTTTGAAGCACAAAGGAAACTAAATAAAATAAGTGGCTGCGAAGGTTGTCTTAGTTTGGTGTTTATTATTGTTAATGTTCAATTAAACTAAAGAAGTTCTCTTCAAGTTCTTTCAAGAAGTATGATATTGCGGACCATTAGGAATGTTATAACTTTATTTTAAGTATAATATTGCTCGTATCATATAGCTAGCTTATTACGTTTAAATCCAGCTATAAACACAAAGGAGAATTTTGTATGCTAATAACTGACCGTTTTCATGGCATTTCTTTGAATTTTACATTTTCCTTCTTTTCATAATTTGTCAGATGGAAAAATTCTGACATTATCAAAATTTCGTTCGAGTAATGTGTACAAATTAAAATAATAAAATAAATTAAAAAGAGTTAAAGCATTTTTATAAAAATAAAATACATAAAAATCGCAAAACTGTAGAAAATATAAGCATTTCTTGTAAGTATATAATATTTAACCAACATACGTAATGCAAACAATTTACCACTTCGTGTAATTCCAAAGAAACGGTCTCTACTAAAACATTGCAAAAACTGTTCTATTTTACATGTAGCATTAAATTTGCAACAGCAAATAACTGTAAGTACAATTCTTTTAATGAAAATACTATCCTCCAGGTAAAATAGCAATTTACTGTCAGTATCTGTCAATTTTTCGTTCTTTACAATTTCTGTCTGCTATCAGCGCATACGCATTATTAATAGTACTGGTCTGCACACATGAATGTTATAAAAATGTCATCTCGCAGTTAAATCTGAGCGATTCCACTTTTCAAACAGTATTTCATCTAAAATTAACGTATATTTTCTAGTATTAATAGAACAGCTGCAGGCTCAAAGAAAAGATATTAAAAAAAAACACTCTTTGATTTTATTTTCAGCTTGTGATAATATAATAAGAATTCAATTATATTTTTATCATTACGGTCTTTTTTATCAATTTTAATTTATAAAAAAAAATTGTTTTAATTTCGTAATTAAATCATTTACTTTTAAATGTAATAGAGTAAAACATGCACCGTTTCATTATTTTACACTAAAAACCACTATAAAATTAAAATTTAACAATACGCACAGGTGACAGTTTTACATCACTGGTATGTCAGTACTACCCAGGGGATACGAATGCTTCCGACCCTGCCCAAGGTGGGGTGTAGTGCAGGGATCGCCCGGTATCTACCACAAGAGGCCTCCCTGCGGCCAGCCACGCCCGCAGCCTTTCCAGCGTGAAGCGACACCATACTGCTCTGGGCCGAGTAACGCTCCACGAGATATGTAAGCTGTCACATTTCGTCATTACGCCCTTATTTAAAAAAAAAACACATTCGTGGCATAGTTCTTAAAATTCTCGACCGTTCCCACAGCATCCTCGCAATTGGGTTAACTAAAGATGGTTAGAATGCAGATTTAATTTTGTTTTTGTCTAATTACTTCTAAATAGTCTGAAATGACATATATACGGAAAACTAGAACCTGTTTTATGAAAGAAGTGTGATTTTCATAATGCTACAAATCCCGAATCAAACCCGACAGTCAAAAGATGCTACAACTTAACTACGAGGCCTATTCTCTCTAAAAATTAGGTCATGAGCATACGATTAATAAAAAAAAAATATTAAGGATCAAAGATTAATGTTTTAGTGTATAAAAATATTAGATAGGTCAGTATAAAACTACGATATTTTTCTACCAAATGGCTCAATAAAAATACCGTTTATTATAATAATAAACCGATTTTTAGCGTTTGATGTTTAGAATAATTCACTTGATTTTCCTATTCTCGTTCGATTAATATGTTTCAAGTATTATTTTTTATCTATCCACTTTTTTAACGTCTGCCGTTTCAATTTTATGGGCAATATTTGATTTAGAATCGTTTTCTAGAGGACTGACTAACACATTCCGTAACAGATATAAAATGTGCACAATGTTTCACTTCAAATTTTATTTTGCTAATAAACTTCTAGTATTTAATTGACTTGTGAAGATTGTAATAAATATAATTTCTTAAAATGGTTACCGTTTTAAGGATGTTGCCATGTAATTTTAATATAACTATTTCGATTGACAGACTATTCATGTAATCCTAAAGTTAGATAATTGAAAAATAATATGCTTACATTGCAATCTGTATACTGCAATAGCAATAATATCTCTATTTGCTTTGTAAAATCAAGAATATTCCAGCAACAAAATATAGAGACATCTCGTTTATGTAAAGTCTAAACATCCGTTGGTAAAATTTATAAGCCACATAGTTGCAGAAATTCTGATCAACATTCTCAAGAGAGTGTTTAATTCATTTATACTTATATTGGTTTATATTTATTTTCAGACCATGCTGTTATGATTATCCTTGTAAGGCGCATTGTTTCAACCACGGGGCTTGCACAAGGCCCAGTGGTAGATACGCGCGCACCGTGTGGTACCCAGGCGAGTGCTGCCCTAGGGTCCCTCCCTGCCAGGCTCACACCTGTCCCAACCCGCCATACCATCCGTGCTGCACCTACACCTGCAATAAGCTTGTCTAAATCATCAAATCATCATCATCGTCTAGAAGAATAAAAATTAAACCATGTGTAACGTTTTGTTCCCGTTTAAAGAAGTGATGTCAAGACTTTGTACAATGTTCTGGTTTGTTTTTTGATTCGTCAATAAATGTTTAAGTGTATATTTTGTTTTTATGAGATTCTAAGCCCAGTAAAATTTCTATAAGGAAACAAGTATATGTACTGATGAATTCTTTCGTTAGGTCCAGTCAAGAAAATAATAGAATTATCTTTGCTTTTAAATCTCCAGTATTCTATGTGTAATATGTGCTACCTTAGTACAGCAATACAAGCATGTTAGTAAAGATGTTGATCCTAATGTATTAGAAAATTAATCTTTTATTTGTTTTGAATTGCCAATCAAGAAAAGCTTTGGTTAACCTTCAAATCACCTGAACAGTGCAAGCTCGTCACGTAATTAATATAATGCTGTGTACATCAACAGACTGACTGATCTGGCAAGTGTACACTCCGCCTACGCTCGTAGACTTCTGTTCTCGCGAGTGGATTTGCGCGCTTTTTCTCATCAGTTCACTTCGTGCGGTCACACGCTTTTGGCCACTACTAGGCGCCCTTTTGAATCTCGCGAATAGAGTGCCTTGATACCGCGTCGATTTGTTCTACTAAAACAATCCAGTCGGCAGTCGCAGGCCGATTTTCGAACACTAATGTTTGTCGCAAGATGTCCATAATCTCCGTTTGCATATTTGTAATTTTATTCGGTGAGTTTTTTTCTAAATACCATTCATTGTATATTCTTCAGCCAAAATTAAACTAATAACGTCATGTTGTTAAGAAGTATTTTCGTGGAAAATTTTTCAGCTGTTTACTTTTTAATTGATAAGTTGGATGATGCTAGTTTTTCTTAACATTATTCGTGTTTTTAAAACTTATTTCTATTGAATTTAAATTGTAATTGTATATGAACAATAGCACAACAAAAATTTTGATTTACCTTTGTTTATTAAGCCAACACACAGGCTTATCGAAGGAATGATTTAAATAAAATTATCATAAATCGCTTAATTAACTCCAATAGCATACACGTTACTCTATTTATACATACATATAAAATTCGATCGTCTGTTTGTAATATCAAAAGAAAAAATCAATATGATGTATTTGCGTTGCTGATAATGAAAATCGCTTTTAAAAAAAAATTTTACTGTGGTACTAAAGAAGATTGAGGGAAACCGGCAAGCATGCATACGTATACAGAAAATGCGATATGAATATGTCAGGGCCTTATTCTCTGCCTACCCCTCACGGTCATGGTGTGAGATATGTTGTTATTTTATTCAGATGTATGTGTAATAAATACAACAAAAGCGGTTACAGTTGCATTTTTTTTTTAATTTTATCAACTTTGAATTATAGTAGTTCAATGCGGATATGGATGGTTCGTTATTTTATTTCGATATCTTTTTTATCCAATTTATATTACGTTTCTATTTCCTTAATGAAGTGGGATTGGCATTGGCAGTATAAGTATATTTACACATTATAAGTGGTTTTACACATTTGTATATAGTTCAGACTGTTTATAAGCTTGCTATTATCAAATAAATTGTAAAGCCGTTGGGAAAATACTTCCATGTAATAAGAGTCAAGATCACTGTTATTTAAAAGCAATGATATCATTTCTGCATCCCATTGAGTGACGTCACTTAATGCGTCGTGCAGATCCTTTGTGTGTGAGCTGGTGCATTTGAAATCGGCACGTTTGATTTGAATAACACATCATAAATTATGACACGATGTAAATATGCATGATGCACATATCACAAACAGCAACATCTAATAAGCCGGGAGTTTTGCGCAAGTATTAAATAACACAATTCCAGATTGTTCTACGATTGTTTTCAATTCAAGAACTAGATTTACTAGACAGCGCTTAATAACATTATCTAGCAAAATGACTCCATAAGTTTTAGACTGTGGGTTTCCACTGTTCCGACATAAAACAAAAGAAAACCATGTCAGTTACTCTTAAATACAGGAAGTGTTTGAAGAAAATATAACATTAAGCTATAAAAACTCGTATTAACTCGTCATTTCATTAGGACATTAAAAAAGCCAAGACAGATTGTAGTATTAATAATAATTTCTTTTAATATTTTTAAAGAAGGTCTTGAAAGGTTTTTAATGCTTGGAGCTTTTTTTTTTCAGGAAATCAAACGTTCTCTCGGTTTAGAGGATTTTTTTGCAAATTTATTTTGGACAAATGCCAACAAATCGGCACATATCACTGTGGTATGTTTAAAACAACGCTGAATTGAAAGATGATCATTTATCGAAAGTTATCTTCGATCGTTTTCTTTTATTATATTTTTAGATTTAAACAGGGTACGAAAATTAAAGTAAAACGAAAAGAAAACCGCAAGATCGCCTGATTTTATTTGCTTATCATTTAATATCATTCTAGTATACAAATCTTACTAATGTTATAAATGCGAAAGTTTAGATGGATGGATGTTTGTTAGAGTTTGTAGCTTAAACTGCTAAACGGATCTCGATGAAATTTGGCATAGATGTAGAGTACAGTCTGGTAGAACACATAGGCTACTCATTTTTTTTTAATTCCACGCGGACGGAGTCGCGAGCGAAAACTAGTTGTTAATAAATGAGTTGTCATCAATATGTGCAGGCAAATTCGCTCTAATTTCTAGCTTACTGAAAATTTACGATGCAATAACATTAAACCTTGTGGGCCGGGACTCCGATGTGTACAAATGTTTGCTCAGGAATTTTCCTGCCATTTATAACCAAATGCCTAAATCAACATCAGCCAAAAATATACCTGGAATTCGTTTATTGTTTATGTGAGCAAAATTCAAATGCTGCATTAGAGAACTTAATTTTTTTATTATTTATATCGACGTGAATAGGTCAATAGCTTCTTCTTCTTCTTCTAATGCCTCTCCATTACTGGAGGTTGGCCGTGGTTTAGCTTAACTATTACAATTGTTGTCTAATATGTTAACATAATGCTCCACTGCCGCAATGAAAAATAATCGTTCAACCTTAATTTTTTTACATAAAATTGGAACCTAATGTGATTACCTTTACAAGGATTGCAAGCGTATAACAAATTAGCTATGAAAACAATAACAATTACAATGTTAATTGCGCTACAATGTTAATGTAAATATCAATAATCTATTGTTTTTATTGTTACAGGAAGACTCGGTGCGCGGCAAACAAATCACAACAGGTTAGTTGATGACGCATTTAAATACATTAGAACAGTCTGTGTGTCCAAAGTGTTTCTCACTGAGTCATCATAGACCAAATAGCTAAGGAAAACACTGCTATCTACTCTTTTTTTTACTCCTTCATCTATATTCACTTCCTTCTTATTCTCCGCCGCTTCTCTACCGTTTTATCTTTTCACACGGCTGGTATTATTGGTGCAAGCAATATGAATAGTTTAGGTTTGTGTTAGCAAAAATTCTCGATGTTTCTATATCAAATATTGAGGAGTTATGGATATCTAGCGATAAGTATTTATTGAAATATGTTATTCACAATAGCAAACATCACCGAAATAGCATCTCCTGCGTCATTCCTGTGCCTATAGTATTTGCATATTTCAAAGTCTGAGTATAGGTAATTTATGGGCTTTCTTGTCTTAAACACTAACAGCTGCTCCCGCAAATGTTTACGTTGATAAAACAACCGATGCTTCACTCGAATATATTGAGGATGTTCGTGAATAATCTTAAAAAAAATATTGACGATTGAATCGCTTCCGTTTATACAATATATGTACTTCGCCGTTATAAACTTTTAGATAAGTTATTTTTATACGAGGTTTGAAGTTGGACTACCTAGTTTTTCTTAATCTTACCAATGCGAAAGTTTAGATGGATGGATATTTGTTAGAGTTTGTAGCCTTAACGGCTGAACGGATTACGATTTGGTACAAATGTAGATGATAGTCTGGAAGAACACATAGGCTACTTACTTTTGTTTTTTTTTTAATTCCACGCGGATGGAGTCGCGGGCGAAAGCTAGTTAATCATATTGCAAATTCTTCTTTTAACCGAAGACATGAAAAAGTGCTTTTGTACTTGAAATGTTACAGAAAATATAATCGTAGTTATTTTATTAGTTTTCTATACTTATTTTAGGCTGAAACTTATACCGAACATATGCATTCGCGGTAGACTAATAAAGTTTTGTTTCAGTGTAAGTGGCGTGAAGCAGGCGTCCCATATCTCGACCTCAGAAGAATACTACCGGCCTTCATTGTTGAAATCGAATCACATTTACAGAGGCAATGATTATGATGATTATAGCGGCGGGGTCGGCGAGCCGCGCACGCCGATGCAGTTTTGGTATCCCGCCCCGCCATACACCGATGCGCAAACGCCGGTCAAAGTCTACAAACCCAGAGAAGACCCCCGCCTCTACTATCAGTCTGATGAGTATCTTAAAGAAGTTCTGGGCAAAAACATAAACCATGAAGTCACGAAAATTTATCCCGGAAGAGAAGTTGTGAGAATGGATGAGGCACATCTGATGCGACCGGTACCAATTCGACGTTTGAGAAGCAGACACGACAATCGAGATTTCGCAGGTTAATTTCCCTTTTTATATCTATACTATGTTAACCATACATCTCTATTAAATATTATTAGAAACTAAAATCTCTATTTGTTCCAGAATACAAGCACTGCATAAAATGTCCTCGTGATAGAACGGTAGTTGCTAAAGCGGGCTTTGACCGCGTCATACTGCAGGCACCACGCTTACTGTCGTGTTCAGGTCGTAGAGCACCTAAAAATATACGGTTCCAGCATTACTTCGGTCCTAAATTTGGTACATTACTCGAGGAAGGCTCCTATTCGGTAGTCGGGCGAATAGTGAACAGAAATGAGGTACCTATATTGGATTTATTTTTAACTTATTAAATGCCGTCACAGTTGACAACCTAGAGCCAATGTGGGTTTTATGAATTTTTAAAATTCTTTTTCAGAAACTGCAAATGTGCAAATTTAAAGTACACGTGGTAGTTCAAACTTGCAAAACACCGGAATCGTTAATCACACAGTGCAATGGACTCAATCAACCTTGCAACTTCAGATGTCGAGACGATAAAATGGAATTAATTGGTGCAACGTCACTGATATGTGGCGATGACTTACAGTGGGACGACACACTTCCAACTTGTAGAGGTAACTCAACATCATGGGGTAAAATATGGATAATCTCTAAGATATACATCCAGTTAGTCTTCAAGAAAAACTAAAAGTTTTACCACATATCATCCTTTTCGTATCATCAAATAAGATTGGTTGAAGTAGTTGGTATTATACTGTTTTTTTTTTCATCGTAAAAAGTTAATTCATTTTACAGTTCGAAACTGGTGTATATCTCCGGCGCCGCCTGAACATGGTCGCATCAGCTGCATAGGCCACCAGGCAGGAAAATCGCACGAGGGTTTAGCTGAAGGATCGAGGTGCCGTGTTCGCTGCGATCGCGGCTGGCAGGCGAACCTACGAATCGTAGCATTTTGTCGCCGAGGAAATTGGACTCGAGCTCTCGAGTGCGATTCAAATAATAGCACGCAAAGATAAAGTAATAATAAAATGGGGGATCATCAAATTTTAAACCGATGTTCGATTAAATTGTAATCAAACTTCGGTATTGTTGCTGAGTGCAAAGCTGAATATGAATTCAGAGCAAGATTGTCACTGTTGCCATGAAGTAGGTTCTAGTTTGAAAACGAATACGGAAATTAAAGAATACTTTTGTAATCAGTATGGAAGATAAAACTAACTTATTAAGTATATGTACGTGGAGCTTTTTAATTATGAAGTGTATGTTCTTAAATATAACAGCGCCATATAATGTATAGATTAGATTTCACGAAGTGTTAACTAAACACGGGAATAGGACAATGCAATTTAAATCTATTAATAGATGTATTCCAGTTATTGGAATTGTTAATATTTATATGATTTCGCGTATTTTCTAGAACACGATAAGACAAGGCAGGTATTTAAAAACTCATAGGAGTAAATATCTTCTCATCTATTAGACGATCTGACATAATAAAATCAGATATAGAAGTCTATATTTTCTTCTTGGGCCAGCCGCTCATCTAGGCTCTATGATCTAAGAGGGTCACTACCATTCCTTGCTATATACATATAATATAATATGCAATACACTAAATATAATATTTTGTAAATGAATTATGAAAATAAATACAATAGATTGCTTGTAACTAAATTGTAAATCCAATGTTTTCGTATTAATATTATAATTATAGAAAAATGTATTTAGCTTTAAAAAATAAATAAAAGCATAAGCGTCTTACAGTTGGTTTTATTTTATACTTACGAATACAACCTAAAACCACCTAAAACCTTAGTTTAGTAGACCAAAAATGTAATGTAAATGTGAGATGAGACCAAGTTTCTATTTTAGTACTACTTATATTATTACACATTGTAGTCTGTTTTTTTCAAAAGGAATACAAAAGACATTATTGCAATATGAAATATTACAGGTATTTATGTAGTACAGTTTTAGAATGTAAAATTATAAGGGAAAACGAGTAAAACGTTCGTGTTAGTGAAATGGAATGGAAACACGGTTTAATAAATGACAGATGTCTACACATTCTGAGTGAAACTTTTAATTATCTATGAACTTTATATCTATCTTGTCATAATCTATATTTTGTTATTGTCACTGTCAGCATGGTTTGTTGTCATTGTCAGCAGTTGTCACTTCGTGCCCCTTCAACTACTCAAAACCAGTTCCTTCCTATTTCAGTGAAATAGGGTGTTAAATCTACGCCTTCGGTCATCACTGGTTTGCGAGATAAAATCAATACAAGATACTATAAAACGGGCGTGTTCAACACTCACAAGCTTACGTGTAAGGTTGGATTATTCAAACATTATCACGTTTTTCGCTAAATGTACGTAAAAATCAGTGAGAAAAATAACTAACCTGTATGCGGCTTTTTAATTTAATTATTTTTTAGTTTTTTCGAAGATGGTTCAAAAAGGACCCCGACCATTGGTGCTTTGCGGCCCATCAGGGTCGGGAAAAAGCACCTTATTAAAACGTTTACTTAAAGAATTCCCGGATAAATTTGGCTTTAGTGTTTCGCACACAACGAGATCTCCACGCCCGGGTGAAAAAGATGGAGTTCATTATCATTTTACTAATAAAGATGACATGCTTGCTGCTATTGAAAAGGGAGAATTCATAGAAACAGCAACCTTCAGTGGAAATATGTATGGAACCAGGTAGGTGAAAAGCGATTTTGCCATGTGCTCAATGGTTACACATACTTGGTACATTGCCAAGATTCAACACTGTAAACATGATGTTTACAAAAATGATTGCATCTTTTGTGTTGGGTTGTTAACATTATAGAACTAACTTGTCTCTTACAATAAAAAAAAAATTCCTAAACTGATAGATGGGACCCATTAGGGTAGGCTCAGAGCCCATAGGAGGGGAAAAAATGGTGATGAATAAAATAGATAGAATAAAGTGTATCAGAGTTATGTATAAACTTAAATACTTTATTGTGTTAAAAATTCTAAGTGTATCAGGTTTTTAAATATATTTTTATAAAAATACTAATGTTTATATTTATGAATATTTCAGTAAACAAGCAGTTGAACATGTTCGGCTTACTGGCAGGATTTGCGTACTAGACATTGAAATGGAAGGAGTAAAACAAGTGAAGAAGACCGACCTGGATCCACTTTTAGTGTTTGTAATGCCACCATCTATAGAGGAGCTAGAGAGGCGACTGCGTGCAAGAAATACGGAACAAGAAGATGCATTAAAAAAGAGACTGGACACTGCCAGACGTGAAATTGAATTTGGTAATTAATAAAATATGTATTTTTGTGTTGACTTGCCTCTTGACAAATGGGGCCTAGTATATGTGGATTTTACATAATGATTTTTACCATACTGCAATCAATTAGGACCTCCTTGCAAACATTGAATGTTTAGGCAAGCAAAATATAGATTACATAATTGAAATGATGTAACAAAAATATTTGTATTTTATCACTGACCTTATGACATTCATTTTTTTAGACGGTAATCAAAACATAACACTTATCATGCCCATAAAAAAATTGTTAACATGATTTGTACAAGATTTTAAAATACCATAGTGTTACCGCAGCAAATTAGAAAATTATGTTAGTTTAACTACCGTATATCAGCAAAGTTTAATCTTGATGTAGATATCTGTTGTTTAAAATCACTTATTATTGTCTTTTCAGGAGAACAGCCAGGAAACTTCCATATCATAATTCTTAATGATAATTTGGATAAAGCATATTCAGACCTTTGTGAATTTATTTCGAAGAATGTTCCAGAAAAAATGGAAGGTAAATTGTACATATAATATGCATACAGTAAAGTATAATATTAAAATGCTATTCATATTATTAATAACAACAATATAATATTTTATAACTTAAAAAAGAAACAATGGAAAAGGCAGAGATCAACTTTGTACCAAAAAAAATAATAATTTGTTGTGTCAAGGAGTTTCGATTAGGTTAGCGTGGTATGGACATGTTACGCGACGAGACAATGGGGACATAAACCAGAAAGTGTTAATAATGAATGTGGATGGCTACAAAGGTAGAGGAAGACCGAAGAATGTGTGGATGGATTGTGTGAAAGAGGATATGCTTAAGGAAGGAATGGATTCAGATATGACGGCTGATAGAGATGTATGGAAGATCAGCACATACTGTGCCGACCCTCCATAAGGGATAAGGGCAAATTGATGATTATCAAGGAATTTCGATATCCTCATGTTAAGTAACTTAAATTAACCAGCATAAATTTAAAAACTTTGAATGGTATTTATAAAAAAACTTATGGGATAGTCAGAGATAGACCATTTTAAATATTGATAAAAAATGTATCCTGTCCAAAATATGATTATTTTACGTCTCGAAAATCCTTGAAATCATCATCACCATCTCCCCGCCTTATCCTACTTCCGTGGGCTCGGCGCACCGGGTTTTCGTTCTTCAAATAACTATCATCTATCATCTGTCATCTCAGTCGTCATTCCCTTCTTGATCATGTCACCTTTCACGCAACCCATCCATCTCTTTCTAGGTCTACCTCTACTGGACTTTATAATGCTTTTTGAAATACAATTTTGTAAATAGCCCTAGCATGCTACTGAGTTGTGCTTGCACAAATTCACTTGTTAATTTTATGCTGTATATTTATTCATGTCTGTGCTATCTATTAATAAATTGTAATGCATGTTATGTGTTAATAATAACACAATGTAATAAGTTGTAAATAATTGTTTTGTTTGAAATGAGTGACATGATTAACCTAACTAAAAATTTATTACAGAACCTAATAATTCGAATGAAAATTGAAATGGATGAAATTCATGGAAAACCACCTACCTCTGCCAGTCGCATCAAGGATGTAGATTTTGTGTATGTGATTAGAAAGTTGTTGCTTTTGTTATCGGCTTAGTTTTGATGTTGAAGTCCTTCAAATTTATAAATTACAATGTTTAACAACAATTTCCGCAGGGTATTATTATTGTAATCAATAAAGGTGCATATTGATACAGTTAAATGTATTGTAATAATGCGACACATTGTATTGATTTTCACTGATATTATGTATTCCATGTTGGTCAAATTATTAATAGAAATGCGCATAAATAATATACGAAACACCAATACTTTTGTAAATGTAAACTTTTTAATCAATAAAGACATTTTGTCATATTATTACAATAAATGTACAAAATTAAGCGAAAGATTTTAGATACCACAGTTATAGGTAAAACCAATTTATATGTGCATTTATGTTATTTTCTTGTGACTAAACAAGCAAAATATTTATGTAGATAATGTTTACATAAAGAGCACTGACTTTAATATGTAGATGCATGCATTACAATTATTTCTGCATGTCATTGTTTACTAATAAAATAATGAGTACCTGAAGTGTTTAAAAGTAATGTGTTAATGTTTATTTCGTGCATTAATTTAAAAAGCTTGTTTATCAAACATTTAAAAGGTATTAAGTTTTTTGATTTACTCGAATACTAAATATAATTGTTTGTTTTTATTTATTCCTATATTCTATTTCAATACATATGAGAGATAATATGGACTTTCAAGGCTCACACTTCATTGCTATCAGATATATTGATATTATCTGTATATTTTTCAATATTTAATTTTAACATGCAATGAGATGAAACTAGAATACTCCACATTTCAAAGTTTTACAGTTAAAAAAAATTAGCTCTGCCACTTCATTTTGTTCAACAAATCCTTTTTTAATAATAATTATGCTGTATTGAATTTTGGTTTGTATATTCATTGAAGACTAATGTAAATTGCCTGTGCCAAATCACTTATGAAACACTTTATACAGTTTTTAATACTTTTGAATAAATGCGTAAAAGGACACAAAGTCTAAAAAATTATGAATGTGTGTGGTACTTTCATGTAATTTTATTGTTTCAGATTTTTGCACTCAAAAATGTTTTGAAATATATAGTGTATAGATGATTTTATTCATTTAATATTACCAACAAATGGCATATAGACAAATCTAAATATGACTTCTGATACTGTTATGAACGAAATGTTATAGTAGTCATTAAATGGCCAAAATTGACACTGAATTATATCATAAGACAACATGCTAGTAAAATGGATCCTTGTTACAGGAGCTATGAAAATAACTCTTTACTAAAGAAATTAGCAAATATTGAACAAAAAATTGTCGATATATTAACTTTTCTTGTTACTTGTTAATGCAATCAACTAAACAAAAACATGTTTTTTTTTAGCTTTAATTTGAATAAATAATTAACTTGCCTTTAAAAATATTGATGTTTGCTTAATGTGATGTAGTAGGAAAATGCTTTTGATGTTTAAATGTAAATCTTGCTTGAATTCTTCATTTGATTTGTATATTTGTATATGTAGTGTTATAACTTTCACCTATTTGAGGAATTTGTAGGTTATTGTAGTAAGAAGAAAGGCCATGTTATTTTATAAAATCATAATATTTTTATTGTATTAAATGCTACAACAAAATTTTTGTCATAATTATATTTAAAGAAAAATCTCTTATAAAAATCCGATCATTCCAATGTTATTTTTTTCATTTAACAATTGCATTCTATGTCTTGTATTTAAATTGCAATTATGTTATTTTTGCAATAGTAAATTGTCGCTAGTGTTAATTAAATTTATTAAACTACTCTGTGTATTCATTATCTACCCATTCCTTAATAAAGATAAAACATGGTTTCCCTAATCTTTTTCACAATCATGTATTGGTCAGATATAAAACAATTTTAATTCAAAAGCAATCCAGAGTACATATGGAATGTAATCATGGTATGAACAGCAGATTGGTTTCTATTTAAATTTTAAAGATGTAAATCTTTAATTTTTAAATGTAATGATATCCTAGTAGTAAGTTATGATTAGTGGATAAAATTACAGAAACCGTTCCTTTAAAACGAAACGCACAAAAACATGAGAACCCATTAGATAAACAATGTAAGAGACTAAAGTACAATGCTATTGTCCTTATCCCATCTGTCTCTATGAGATTGTGGCGGTGTGTTTTCACAATCACCGCTTATGGATGAACTTTTAGATGCATTTTTCAATGAAATTGAACTTCCTGATGTCATTTGTTTGGACAGGGACTTGAGCCTTGGAATGTGAGAAACATACTTCAAATGTGATGCAGTTCTTGTTAATTCTTTCTTTTTTTCCATATTGTTAGCTGATTTTGACCGTGCATGGGATGCATCAGTAGTGTTCTTCATACATGATAGGGGTGTTCGGGATCCTAAGCTGTGGATAGGCCTTGTTTTCTTAGGAGTAGTTACAACAGCAGATTCATCTTCATAAATCATTACACCATCTATGTTAGATACATGAGTCTGTTCACTTGTACTTTGTAAAACTTTAATAAGTGTGTCATCAGACATTTCTTCAACATTGTCCTGGCTATCATTGTCTTCAGTTTTTGTCACAACTATAGGAGTTCTCTTGATATCAACTGAAGGTGATCTAGGATCATTTTTCAATATCTTAATATTGGGATTTTCCTTTAACTTAATTTCAGATACTTCAATATCCCCATTAGTGTGATGCAATTCTTTGCAAACATTATTATTATCATTTTTCAATTCCACATAGTCGAAATTAGTTTCTAACAATACTTTGGGCTGATCAATTTTCTCAGGACTTAATTTTTCTTCAATGCACTTATTAGATGTGGTGGAAGATCCCAGAGGTTCCTCGTTTTCATCTAGTGTTTCATTAAGGGAAAGGTCATAGAAGCCATCACATAAGTTTTTGGCTACTACTAAATCTGGACTTAATTTTATTGTACTGTCTGATGTATCTAAATGATCATTGGAATCTTCTTTCAAACATGGACTTGAAAAGCTGTTATTATTTCGACGTCTTAATATTTTCTTCTTACTTCCACTCTCATCAAATGTAGGTATAACTATTGGAGTTCTCTCAAAATCTTGTGTTGGTGAACGAGGATCATAAGATTGCAAATGATTTTTTATGACTGCAGTTAGAATTGGATTGTTACGAATAAGTTTCTCATCTACTTGTCCATTCTCAAAAGTCTTTCTTAAGTCTACGTTTTTTGTTATGTTATGTTTAGAATTATTCTTGTTCTGAAATAAAAAAAAAACATCATTTTTTGACATAATTATAAAACAATAAAAGAATCACATGTTAAGGTTTGGAAACTTGGTTTTATTATTATCCAAAGCTGACAGATGTCTTTATTATATATATATTGATTTGTAGATTACTTAAAAGCGCGCCAACCACTCTTTTTTATTTCCATCTACCTTGGCAAATTTTAATGCAACAGGTGTGTAACTTAATAACAATTATCCACAATGTAGTGTACAGACTACTATTAAAGAATGTTATGTTCGTATCCATTCGTTAGTATTTGAAAATTGTGAATAAATTGTTAGTTTTCTATAAACAGAGCCATGGTTCAAAATAAATACCTGTAATGGCGTCCGAGTTATTTCAGGAGTCGGCGATCGAGGATCAGGATTAGTGTTGATGTCCAAATCGTTTTTTTGTTCGTGAACAGTAGTCTCGCTGATGGATTTACTGGTATTACTTCCCATTATCACAGTATGGTAAAATATGTTGAAACAAATCTCTTGCAAATAAAGCACTAATATAAAGTCATTGAACTAAAACATAGTAAAGATTTGTATAATAATATAAGCAAATGAATATTTTTGCTTTATTTCTAGGAGACCAAATGCAGAGACTGTAACACGACAAAATCGAACAAAACTTGAACATGTAACGGCTCCAAATGTCAAAATAGATTTCTAATTTTAAAATTGATGTTGGTAAATGGGATGTGTTGCTAGTCCATAATGTTATTTGCTTAAAGAAATTGCAAATTGTCAATCACAAGAATGTCCTTTGTATTCAATTATGGAAATTACTAAAATAATATAAATAATGTATAATACTATATTCATAAATAAGATATAAGACATAAGATACTCATGTTGTGTTTATTTTTTACTTCGAGATTTAAATCAGTGGCTGAGGCAATTTTTTCATCTTTGGCAGTCAGCTGAACAAAAAAATACTATTATTATCTATGGCAAAATAAACCATTTCATTACTTCACTAAATTTTAGGATAATATTAAGTACTATAAAAAATATTTAATGACAAAAAAGTCTTAATTTAAATTACTGTACTAAAACAATATTTTTTCTTTAGTGAAATTAGAACCAAACTTAATTACAAAAAATAGTATCTTTTCGAAGCCATATTGTGCTTCCGTTTAAACAATCTTGACCAATCACAGGCTTTGCCAGACATTACGTATTCTGAATTTAATTTTATCCGTTATTTTCGAGTGGAGGTTTACGCTGTTGAATTTGTTGGTCGTTTGTATATTACTCATTATTGACTGTGTGAAGTTTAACAAGTATAATAGCCTTACTAAAGATTTGTCGGTAGAAGCGGCCGAAATACATTAAATATTTCGGTTCGTAGAGCTGCAAGATCTGCATATCACTAAAATGGAGGTCCAAACTCGAAAACTCCGGACGGTAATGTGTTATCTTTAAATTTTTTATTGTTGCGGAACTGACTTTTTAACATGCATATAATTAATAATTTACTTCTATTTAATTCAGGTGCAGCTACATGACCAAGAAAATATTTATGGAAAAACGAAAACCCACGCAGTGTTCTCATCAAAACGCGATGGGTTAACTGTTCGTGGGGTTCTCGGAGAATTAAATGGAAATGTGCAAGTTCAACGCGACGTCAATAAAGGAAAAATCACCGTTACCGTATCTGAGATTGACAAGAAACCAAGTCGTATTGCTCTCCGAAGGTACCTTTTAGCACATTACCTTCTCTGTCTTAACACTGGCTTACCTTTAAAACCATTAATAATATTAGTTATTTATGTTTTGCAGCTCAATTTAAAATTTCAATATCCTTAATTCAATTCTATACATACTTGTTTTTTAAATTACCTGCTACCCACATTTATAATTTTATTAAAATAAGTGAATTAATCATATTTAATAACTAATTACATTTTACTTATTAATTGGCTTTTCAGCAATTACAACCATGTGCAATCGAAAGTAGATTCTGGACTTGCTACCAAGCCTGTATTGCCAACAAAACCAACTTTAAGACGGGAGGAGAGTACAGCTAGTCTTGCTGCTAAGGCAGCTGCTCGGACTAAGGTATTTTTAATATCAGATAAACTTTGTACTTTATGGCATATTCTCATATCATTTTACTTATACAGAAACAATCAAATCATTCTCATTTTTAGCTTTTGTTAAAAGAAGCACAAAAGACAAAGGAAGCTAAGAAAAATGAAAAAAATAGCCTGCAAACTGTCAAGGAAGTAAAGACTTCGAAGGCTATTAAACCTCTTCTAAATGAGCCGACAGATTCTCTCGGAAAACTAAAGCTGTCTGAAGCAAGCTCGCAGGGGCAGACAAAATACAAAGGAAATCCAGTTTGTATTGTAAAACCTTTACCGCTACCTCATGATATTGAAGACATTGATGCTAGTGACAATAGTCCCCTGCTTATGTCAATTTATATTAAAGATATTTATCAGTATTTAACAGAATTAGAAGAGAAATATCCCATTGAAAAGGATCACTTCAAAAATCAGGTATGTTATGTTTATTTCTTAATGCTACTTTTTTTAATGGACACATTTTTATTTATTTAGTATGTCTAAACATTAGTGGTTTGTACATTAGTGCCAAATTTTATTTAAGCCGTTCTAGAGATTCCAGTAACAAACTTTCATGGATCTAAATTTTTGCATTTATAATATTAGTATTATCTTTTAAATATTTTGATAATGTAAAAATAAGGTTTTATTGTTAAACTATTTCAGACTCATATAACTGGTAAAATGAGATCAACACTGCTGGAATGGTTGGCGGAAGTGCAACATCAGTTTTCAATGTTGTTGGAGACATTTCAGATATCAGTTGGAATTGTTGATAGATATTTACAGGTGTGAAACTTTTTTTTATAAAAGTGTGATAGTTTATTGCTGCTACACTTTTACTATTGTTACCTATTACATTTATTTATTTACCTACCTTCATAAAGAATATTGCCTATGTTTTTATTTTTCTTCCCATTGTTACAATCATTTTATTTTAGTTATTGTAATAGTATTAATTAATATGTTATTATATATTTTTTAGATTGTGTCTGACCTTCCGAGGAACAAACTCCAGTTAGTAGGTATAACTGCGCTGTTCATCGCCAGCAAGTACGAAGAGATCTACGCACCTAATGTTAACGACTTCATTTACGTAACGGACTGCGCCTACTCCAAGGAGGAGTTGTTCCAGTGCGAGAGAGACATCATTGTCAAACTGGGATACTGTCTCGCTCGCCCCATACCTCTCAGCTTCTTAAGAAGGTAAACAATACTAACATAATGAAGCGTAAATTGACCAATGACAAAGAGACAAACTTTTTTAAATCTGATCCTGGTCTGAAATTAAGAGCAATTTTTAACAATAATCAGATTTTTATTAGATTTCACTAGGTTTGTAATGAAATCGTTAAATTAATGATTCCACAATATATTGTTTATTTTAACAAATTTAATACTTTCTAACTTAGATATCGGCTTCAGTTAGTATATTTAAAATCCAATTTTTTCTAGATACGTTAAAGCGGCTCGCGGTACATCGAAAATCCACCATCTAGCTAAATACTTGGTTGACTTGAGCCTCGTTGAGTACACGACGGCGCACTACCGGCCCTCGGAGGTGGCCGCCGCCGCCATCTGCCTCTCGCTGCATCTGCACTCCAGCAAAACCCTGCCAGAAGTGTGGACACCCACATTAACCTATTACTCTGGTTATTCCTTACAACATATCAAACCAATCATTAAGAAGTTAGCAGAAATTGTTGTTGATGTAGAAAATAATAAGTTCAAAGCTTTATATAAAATTTATTCATCAGCGGAATTAGGCAAAGTATCAACTTTACCGCAGCTGCGGAGTGAATCTGTTTATAGATTGGCCGAAGTTTGATGTGAGGTAAGTGAATTTTGTACATTTGTAATTGACTACTGACATGTGGACGTGTAACTTTTTTAATTGGTTATTGTTTTGTAATTAGATTTATATTTTCTGACTGACTGAGTTTTTGTATGTGGGTTTGCTTTAGTACCTGTTTGATTTTGAAGGATTTTAGATGTATTTAGCAGTATTGTTATGACATTAAACTGAAAGGTTTTAGTGATAATGTGTAATTTTTAATTATTTATGTATAATCCAAATATTATGAACGTAGTCGAAATGTATTCACGTGGTACGTAAAAAAATTGACAAAAATGGTTCAAAGAATTTATAGAATGACAAAATATAGTTTTTGTTACATAAAGTAACTTTAACAATCATTTTCTTAATGTACTAATTATTTCATGAGAATCTTAAAGGTTTTATTGTAATTTAAAATATCAATATTAAATAGTTGACGTTTTGACGGTTTTTTAATTTTATACAACGACGATACTGAAAGTAAATTTAAACCATCAGATCAAGTTTTATATTTAGTATTTTAACTAAAAAAGTATTCTTTTAAATTGACAGAAATGAACCATATCGTGGTGACCACGTTTACACATGAACGACAACGAAGTGTATTTTATTGCCTTAAGCCTATAATATAATTTTTGTATAGTTCTTAGACCTGTGATTGATATTAAATAATAAATTCTGTTTTTAACAAATCGTTTTATTTATTTTTTTCCTTACTCTTATAATTTTACAGATCAAAAAAACGCAATGTTTCTACCATTACCTAAAATGTGTCTGAGATAAGATAAAAAAGTAAAGGTGAGTTCTAATTTTTACTATGGCTATTTTAAAGCATTTTCCAATAGATGGCCGGATGGTAAATGAGTGCAAAGATTTTCCGCGTTAATCGGTGAATCTTTTAACGCCCGAGAAAGTACAAAATTGACAGGTCTCATTAAAGTTTCTAATGGCAAAGTAAAAAGATTTAAACTGAAGATTGTTCAACATCACTCACTTTCAAATTCTTTTTTTAATAACTTTATTACGAAAAATATTATGTCTTAATGTCTTTCGTTACAAATTCGTATTTCTGTGATTTAGTTCTGTTCTTTTAATTATTTTTGCTTTTATAAACTTTTTAATATGGGTTTAGTTAAGTATTTCCTTGATATACTCTAAGCTAGAAATGGATTTGCGGAAAAGAGGCATTTTTGCGGTCACGTACGCTTACATGACTACATTAAAAAATGTATTGGTCGTTGCTGTGCAAATTTTTGTGCCAAATATTTTTTGAATAGATTAATTGAATTTACGGCGTACATAGACTACGCTTATATTCAGTCCAACGTGGGTTAGAATTATAGTTGGTTTTCTGTCAGGATGAAATATTTACACATCGATAATGCCGATTCCGCAAATCTATTTCATCAAGCTGTTAGTTTTTTAACTATTTTTGATGTATTCTGTATTCTTAAAAGTTATTTGTTAATCTTTGCTTTTTATCAATACATTTACTTTTATTTAAAACAACAATATTTTTAGGAAAATATTAGGAAACGGAAGTAATAGTGGGAGGTAGTTTTATAAAATACATGGCAAGGAGTGGCTCGGGCTTACGACAGGCAAAAAGCCGTAGTCGCTGTCGACTACGGCAATCATTCCCGCGATACGGCCTCATAGCAGGCAGGTTCTCTCCTATCAATGATAGAAGCGTTGCTGGAGTTTCTTCCGCCACTTCTTCTCCCAGCGCTAACGCTTTCCGAAGTGGTAGTAATGTTAGATGTATTAATAATTATAATAATGATCAGATAGCAGCAACCGATCAAGTCGAGGTTCGGCCCTCTCGGGCGCCCTTGAATCGGAATGCTAAACGCGTATTGAGTCACAGCCCAAGCCGAGGTCCCCTCTAGGGGACCCTTGTGCTTAGTCACTCCATGGAGCGACCACCGAAGCGATCTAAGAGCTCGGTGGTCGCTCCATGGAGTGCTCCTGAGGGAGCCCTCGAGCCTAGTTGCTCATAAAAGAGGTTTAGGCTAAGCGCCATCTGCGCTGGGCCACCTCAAGCCCGGTGAATCTGTAAATGCCTCTTCAAGGCAAACGGTGACAAATCAGTCAAAAAAAAAAATGGCTCGGGCTCAGTTTTAGTCTCGGCGCTCAGTCGCCAACAAGCTCAGTGTTTTACTAGTCGTCACAACGGAACGTTATACTTGCGTTGTCACATTGGAGTTTAGTTTGTGTGTTTTAAAGTAATTTACAAGTGTTGTTAATATGGCCGTCCGTCTATATTTTAAAGGAAGTTATTTGTGGAAATACCTAACAATAAGAAGCGGGATCATGCGAAAACAATGTTTTCAATCCACGTCTACAAAGTTCACGTAAGTAGACCATGTTCTGTGACACTATTTTTAATAAGCGTGGTTGTAAATTATCTAAAAGCAATGATAGTGGGATTTTTTCCTAAGATACAAAATCATGCATAACTAAATGATCTAAGGTGCTATCACAATTTGTTTTAAGCCAGTGGTTAAAAAACAGTGAGGTTCCTCTATGGTGTTCATAATGAGAACAAAGTAGACCACTTTTATTTATGACTAGTTATTTATGATACATGAAATCTATCACAAGTTGTATAAGATATTTACTTTATTATCCTTATATTAAAGAACAATATTGGAATTACAAGTGTATATTTTGCTTGTTAATTGTTATTGTCTATTTGTGTTAATGAACAATAAATGTATCAGAGATTGATGTTGGAGCTTGCTGCTCACTTATTGAAAGAACATAAATAAGGTGTTATACATTTGAGTCAAAGTAATGTTTTCATGGTTGGTATGTGTACATATATTTTGCAGTTGTGTACATTGTACAATTATGAATTTTTACTTTTGTTGTCTGGAACGTGAGAACGGTAATTGTGGAGAGCAAGATGTGCTCAAGTGTTGAGGAAACGGAAGGAATAGTGGGGGTAGTTTTATAAAATATATGGCAAGGAGTGGCTCAGGCTCAGTTGCAGTCTCGGCGCTCAGTCGCAACAAGCTCAGTGTTTTAGTAGTCGTCACAACAGAACATTCGATATTTTTGCGTTGTCGCATTGCAGTTCAGATTGTATGTTTTAAAGTAATTTACAATTTTTGTTAAATGACCGTCCGTCTATATTTTAAAGGAAGTCATTTGTGGAAATATCTAAATAAGCGATAAAACGTGAAACGGAATACAACTTATAAGGGCGTTCATAAATTTTAATACACCTGTACACGTATGAAAATTTAAATTATTAATACAGCTACTTTAAACATAAATTTTTCACTTAATAAAATTTAAATTCGTTGATATTTTATATGGATGCATCATAGCGTTCGCTCGATGCTGTGGGTCATTCGAAAGCGGTGCCGCGTAGCGTGCCCTCTCCTCGCAAATTCGAAGAATTTATTAACGCTTGGCGGTTAGCCGAACCATTTTTGTTTCCTGTTTTTTTTTCAGGCTTGGTCTCCCGCCGTGAGAACTGGGAACAAAGAAAGTTTCGCTGCTATTTTTTAAGCCGTTCCGTTTTACTTACTGGAAAGTATGTGTTGATACTGATTTCAAATTTTATTTTATTTATTTTTATTCTACAAACATGCAATATCACAATTCAAATATAATTTTACAATTACTTTTCTCACATTTTTTTTCACTTCTAATTTTAAATTCGGTATTTTGTTAAATTATATGTATATCCTTCGTCCTTTACTGGGTTGACTCCCTGTGTTAAAGGAGCCAATGTCTTCCCTTATTCGTGTAATAGTATAACAAAATTAACAAAAACAAAATAGATTCAGTAATTCACCATTACTTCATAATAATTAATAATAAAATTTGAAGTTTATATATTTTTTTGTATAAACAGTTAGGTAAGTATGTAGGTGTAGATGTGCATGTGCTAGAATGTGTGTATGTTTGTATGGTGGGTGGTTGTTAATTTATATGAATGTATTGAGTGTGTACATAATCTTGTATTTATATTAATAAATATTAATCATTGGACATTATTTTCAGTAATTTTTGACAATGTAGACCGCAAGGATATTGCGCGATAATTTGAGGGGCTTAGTTTATTTCCAGCTTTGTGTATAGGAACTATTATTGTTTCTTTGAAAAGTTCGAGGAAGTGACCTGTCTCTAAGCCAAGATATGATATAGGTTTACATAATAATTGATAATACTTTTTTACAAAATTGCATGTTGCAAGTAAAATGACATAGAATTCAGTGGGCTTTTCGCTTCGTTAGCTAGAGCTTGTTCGGTTTTTCCTGTTTTATTTAATGTTGTATTAGCTAAAATCTTATCAATATTTGCGAAGTAGTCGTTCACTTTGTTTAATGATTCTTTGTCTGTTTTATCTATAGAAAGTAAGTCAAGCGATACATTTTTCGTTTGCTGTAAGTCGCATACCTCTTTCACTATTTTCCATATTACCTTGGTGTTATTAGCATTTGATTTTAATTCTCTTTCATAATATCCTTTTTTAAGTTGTTTTATTAGGTTGTTGCAGATATTTCTATAAATCTTATAACTTTTAATTGATTCTTCATTATTAAGCTTTTGTCAGCATTAGCTCTTTGTGCATTCTGTCACGTTTCCTTATAGATTTTACAAGGCCAAGTGTTATCAAGGGCTTGAGTGCTTTATATCTCTTAGGTGTTATTATAATTTTAGATTTTAGAGTTAGAATTAATTACCTTATGCAGAGAGGTGATAAAATCACTATTATTCAGTGGACTCGCCAACAATCAGCGGTGCTGTGGTGGCTTGTTAGCATTTATATAATAAAAAATACACGTCCAATTTAGTTTGGGTGTATGTTTTAGCGTTTTTGCAGCGAACGCCCTATTCCAATGCATACAGGCATTGTAACGTTACGTACGCCTGTCTCGTAAATATTTCGCGCACGCAATTTACAGCTTTGGGAATCCTCTTAACGGAACACTGTGGGTTAGCAGGGAATATATTATTTTAGTGGCCTCTTAAATTTAGACATGATAAGTGTTATCATTTTATTAGCGGTCTAAATTAAACCGCAAATAACCTTCGTTATGGTCGCGGGTTGCCGCAGTCGTGGATTTTTCGATTTGAATCTCCCTAAAAGTATTTTAAACTGGTACATAAAGATAATTTAAGTAGTTTTGGAATAGGGGATTATTAAAAAAAAAGTTTCGTCTTTACTGGTTCGCAGTTTCTAAATTTTAATTTTATTTGATAACCTTCAATATTTTTTCTTTCTTTTAGTATCTGTATAAAATAAGTTTAGTTTTCTTAAGAGATACATGAAACATAGAACTTGTAGAGCAAATAGCCATGTTTATTACAATTAGCAAAAAAAAAACATCTATGAAAGATTTTATGTTCGAAGTTTGCGCAGAGACAAAATGTTTCATATGATTGTCGTGTTATATAGTTCTCTACTTAACGTCCGGCGCCGCGAGTGTCTTCGAGTAACGATCCTTCCGTTGTTCCGCCAACTTTTAACGAGTTTGTCGGATGCGAGTGGAAGCGGCCGAAGTGCCTGCGACCGGGGTACCCGCACATAATATGTTACTCATTTCGAGCGAAATATGGAACAACTGGTACTAGTTTTACCATGCGTCTATTAAATGTTTAAATTAATAAATCTTGAGAAGGCCTACTAATGTTATACTGGGACAGCTAGTATTCTGATACGTTGCACCTCACG